TGGGGAGTCCAGTGCGGAAAGCCGGTTCTCTGGGCTTGTTCCATGGTGCAATGGGAACTCGCTGTGAGAGACAGGTCCGATAATATCACTTGGCACCTCCTAGAGGACTCCCGCTGGTGAGGCTTGTGTGGGTTCCAAAAGGAAGGAGATATGGTCGGCTATCGGACGGGTTATGCAGGGGAAGCGATAAGGAGATTGGTCCGTGGAGAGCTGGCCGTTGATGCATGGCTGCGGCGAGAGGGTTCAGGAGAAAGCTTTATATGACGTCCTTATAACGTCGTCGATATGGCTGTATGTATGCATAGTTAACGCAGGAAAACGTGGACACGACGCGACCTTACCAACGACCACGCGATCCGCTCACTCCCGCTGGTGAGGTTGTATTGGCAGCGGTTCACCACCCCTCCCGTGCCGTGCTTCCAAGGCGGGAGCAGCGGGGTGCAAGACAAAACCGTGGGTGGATTGGCAATCGCAATTATATCGGATCGTTGATCGACTTGAAGCAGCGTTTCAAGTTACACCCGACACCCGTACAGGAAGGACGACGTTGCACATGTCCGTCCTTCGCAGCAGCTGTCAACTTGAAGAAGAAGGAGAATCAATAGTTGATACCCGAGGCTGTCTGTGGGCGGCATATGGTCTGTGCTTGATATTACCGGTTACCTGCAGTTTGGCAGCTGTGGCTTGCTGAACACCACAAGCCCCTTGCAGGCTGCATACATATTCTCCTCGGCTCAATTGCTGCTTCCAAACTGACTCGGACTGCATAACGCATCTTTAGCCTCTTCTCTGCTAATGGAGAAGAAACTCATTTCTCCTTTGTCAACTATCGATCCAGATGAGGCCATATTTCAGCCCCAGTCCATGACTTTGCACGGGTTCGCAAAACGGCCAATTCCCGACAGATCGGGCCCTCTCCGATATCGTGGCGTCCTGGGTTCATCCTAGCTGCTATCAAGGCTATTTTGACAACACCTGGACGTTTGACTTGTTCTGGAAGCCTTTGAGTTCCGCTCCAGCTGAGGTGATCTCCCGGCGAATCGCGGTGGAACTTTTGGGAGATCTGATCGCATCGTATCTAGGCTCTCAGATCCACCAACGATGGCCGTCTCGGTAATCGAAAGATCCACAGAATCGCCGTAGAAGTCGCGATAAACATTCCGGCCGTGACGAGAGGAAGACCAACCCAAATACCTCCCAATTCGAGTCCAAGACTAAGACTCTTGGCCAGAAGCGGGCCGGCTGCCATCATCCCAATGTTCTCCATGAAGCCTACTAGAGCGTTGACGGTGCCAACATGATGTTCCTCCACCAAGCTGTTGAGGAGAGACCGAATCAAGGACGTGATCCCTGACCCAAGCGCATACCAGACCAGTCCCACGGAGAAAAGGACTCCGTTGGTCGCTCCAGCAATGATCAGGCATCCTGTTACCGTTGTAATACCGGACCATCGGCCCAGCCAGGTGTCCTTTTCCACTGCTGACATTCCGAGGTGTTGGAGGCAAAACCAGCTGGCAAAAGGCATCAGAACCAGGAGCGTAAACATGCTGAAAGCATTCCGGATCACAAGCTGAAACGACGCTCTACTCCAACTCCAATGATACCTCTCTGTGGCATATTGAAGCAAGATTTCGCCCACAAACCGACCGAGAATGACAAACGTCATGGATAAGATCAACAAAGCCACACTCTTGTTTCCAAGAATAAATCGCCAGACTTCTTCCAGTCCAGTCCTTGTCTTGTGTAAGAGCTGTTGCATGACTGATCTTCCGTCATCATTATCGTCTTCCGGAGTGGGTGCCGTATCCTTCTTGTCATGAAGGTGCAGCGTCTCCGGGAGAGCCATAATCAGCAGATTTGCGGCCCCTATAATGACCAAGGACGCCCATAGTGGAATCCACGGATCATTCACCATCATGATGCCCCCCAGCGGACCGGCGAGCATCTGCGAGCCCAAAAACAGGGCGTTTAGTTGCAGGAAAACGGTCGCGCGCCCGTCAACGGGGACAACGTCTGCCACGAAAGTGTAAAGCATGGCCACTAGAACGGCGCCGCCACCACCAATGCTGTGGACCGATCATGTTAGCCTCTATGTTTATTTCAACCTCAACTGAGCTTTGGATCAGACTCCAACAACAACTTACAGCTCTAGAGCCGACGACCACCAAAACCACCACAGAGGCACCACGTCCGAGAAGTAAACTACCACTTATATCAGCTCTCATACCGACTCCGTTCCGTCAAGGTAGGGGAACTCACAAATCAGATACATAAACCCAACACTCAGTAAACATCCAAACAGACTAAGCGCCAACACCGGCCGCCGCCCCCATTTATCTGACAATATCCCATATGGCACCGCGCCAATGAGACCAGGAATGCACTCAAATGTCTGCGCCCATCCTCTCAACATGGCAAGTTCAGACTGGACATCTGGAGACTTGCATATAGGGTCGTCTATAAGTGCAACTCCCCCCGCAAACTGTCTTATTGTCGAGAGCGGTAAACTGGGGTAATGCTGCCGGCAAATGATAGATTCCATGATGGCATTATTAGGGGCGACGGTGATGCCGACACCCAGTTCGATCAAGAAGAGGATGGTGAGCACAAGAATTATAACGCGGGGCCGGATGAGGTTGCGTCGTTGATCATTTTTTGAAATGGTGGCAGTAAGAGCGGGCTGGTCATGCTCGCCAATGCCGTGGCTGGGGCGAGGTGATGACGGTCTTGGTGAGCCGGCTAGGAGGGGGGTTTCCTCTGTTGTGGTGATGCTGGCTCTGTCGTCATCGTCGTTGGGTGCCATTTTTCACGGCGGGCAGCTGGCCGAGTCACTAACGAAAGAAAAAGAAGAAAATTGATGGAAAGTGATTGGAAAATGAATCAAATCAAAAGTGAGATAAATTCTAAGATGTAAAGAGATCGTGAATGATGAGAGAAGTTGAAACAAGCTTCATATGACGCGCAGCAAAAAAACCAAGGCACGGAGTTGCAAGGTAAAGGCGAGCGGCACGGCGGTTAATTATGTCCGCTGCTCTAAGGTAGTGTATTTCCGTCCGATACTTACGCTGAGCAACTGGAAACCGAAACAGGCAGGTAAGCGCACCTGGATGCCCATTTGAGCATTTCTTGCAATTAAATCCATGGATTGATTCGTAGAGAGTTGCGTGGTTGACCATGCAGTTTCATTTGCGGGATGCAGACGGAGGTTGCAATCAACGCGGCCTTGTCGCGGCTCCTGGAAACCCTAACCCACGTATAGCCTTACCAAGACATTCCAGAACATTGTTAAGAACTTTTTGACAGGGAGGAAAAAGATGTTTGGCTTTTCAGACGTTGTTGAGCCTCACTTCAAGCATCAGTCATGACCATGCACTAAAAACGCGAGGATGTTAGAAGTACCTTCCTTATCCAAGTGGCACAACAGCGAAGCTTGTAACGTGAAGCAATCACGATCACTGCAGGCATGTCACTTCAAACCAACCATTTTCAGCCTCACTTTTACACGCGTCAGGTAGAGTGTAAACCGGCATTCCCGTCATGATACTGCATGTGAGCTCTCAACAAATGGATGACGATAACAACGACGTACCATTGCTTGATTGCCATCCTCGATGAACGCAAACTGCACCCGATCCCCCCTTGCAGCTGCCCGGTGCCTCCAGCCGCTCATATGCCACATGACCAGCATCACAACCGTCGCTGGCATGCAAGAAGAAAAGCTTCAAAAACAGCCAGCACATCACACATGCCCTCACCCCCCCGTCCATCACCCATTGGCCAGAGCTGCAACACCGTGATCCATGCCATGTGGTACAGATACAGTTGAGTGGATCACAGCGGGAGCCTCCCCGAAGCTGCGGTGACCCCAGCTCCCGTCTCTTCCCCCTATCGGCTTTAGTGGAGCCCTAGCCGCAGAGGTGCCCAGATCACCCTTCACCTCGACTTACACACCGACATTGTCCACATTATCACCACAACACAACACCACCACCACCACAAAACACAAATACCCCCCAAAAATGATAGCAAAATCAGACGAGAGTTATTTCCCCCAAGTGCAATCCAAGATGGTTCTGGCACCAGAATTCGAGGCAAAAGTAATAGCCACCGAGCCACTTGTAAGCCCTCCCTTACCTAAGAAACAAAACCAAGATATCAGAACCATAAACCAACATGTCGTGTGCCATACAGCCAGAAAGTGAAGCGGTCTGGACCAAACTCGTCAAGTAAGCCCATCAACACTCCAACAACGTAGTATCTCTTTTTCCCACCATAACCTCGTCCTAACCCACCTACCCCTTCAAAGAAAAATCTACCTCGACCCCAAAGGCGTAACCCGCACCTGGGAATCCGCCGAGCGCCGAACCCGCCCCAAAGCAAGCGGCATCGACGGCGTAGGCATCGTCGCCATCCTCGAAAAGCCCACCGGCCCAGAAGTCGTCCTCCAAAAGCAATACCGCCCACCCCTAGACAAGATCGTCATCGAGCTCCCTGCGGGTCTCATCGATGAAGGGGAAACCGCCGAAGAAGCCGCCGTCAGAGAGCTAAAGGAGGAGACGGGGTATGTCTGCGAGGTAATAGAATCGTCTCCGGTCATGTTCAACGACCCCGGCTTCACAAACACCAACCTCAAGATGGTACATGTCAGCGTCGATATGAGCCTGCCTCAAAATCAGAATCTGGAGCCCGAGCTGGAGGAAAATGAGTTTATCGAGGTGTTTCATGTTAAACTCGTTGATCTGTGGGAAGAGTGTATCAGGCTCGAGGCAGAAGGGTATGCGATTGATGCTAGAATAGCCAATCTGGCAGAGGGAATCGAGATTGCAAAGAAGTTCAAGTTGTGAGGGAGATGACAAGGGTCGAATAAAAATAGTAATGTTAATCGAGGGATTCAGCAAGGAGTTCAGGCAGGTAGACAAAGGGTATAGCATCGATACAGATTGGGTATAACAATAGAGAATGGACCACAAAAAAAAAGCTGCCTCAAAAACTGCAAAAGATGGACGTACCAGGGTTCGAACCTGGGACCTTCTCATGGAGCATTATACCGTTCGAGTCCCTTTCACCTGTTTGGAGCTTCCAACAGCTGTAAGGATTTGAACATTATTTTGCAACTGAGACGTCTTACCACTAGACCATACGCCCGTTGGTTTTACTGTTGACCTCATCTCTGGATCTGCATCTTATAAGCTCAAGTCTGAAACAAGACGTACCGGCGATGACCCCATACCTCAACAACACCAGCTGCCAACACCGGCAACAGCACCAACTGTCAACAACAACAACAACACCACTCCTACCTCACGACCGCGTCTCATCGCGTCTCCATCACAACAACACACCCTCAAACCCTCCCCTCCCTCCTCAACCCCTCCCACAACGCCACCGCAGCCAGCGTCTTCCCATCCCTCCCCCCAACCCTCCACAAATCCCCCATCTTCACCAACCTCAAGCTGATCCTCTCCCCATGCTCCCTCAACCCTGTCAGCTTCCCCTCCCACTCCTTCAACGTCTCCCTCGACACCCTCCTCTCGTGCATAAAAATCGGTATAAACTCATCACACGCCCCCGGACTCGGATAAACCCCCTTCCCCAACCCCCCATCCTCCTCTCCCTCCCCCTCCCCACCACCCAACACCATCTCACTCAAATTCACCAACTCCTCCTCCCCAATCCTCATCCCCAGCTCCTCCTCCATCTCCTTCGCCGCCGTCCCCGCAAACTCCCCCTGCTCATCCACCATCCCCGCAGGCAACTCCACAAACTCCAGGCTCCCCGCCGCGATCCTCGGCTGCACCGTCAAGAGCACATACCTCTCCTCGCTCGCAGGCGAGGGGGGGGCATCATCATCATCATCATCATCCGGGATCAGCATCACCAACATGGCCACCGACGGCCCGCGGAGAAACACCGCCCCGGGGAGCCATTCATTTTTGTCGTTTCTGACGTCGGCCTGCAGCTTGAGGAAGCCGACTCTAGAGGAACCAAAGAGGTCAAAGGATTGGATTTTGACGGAGCGGAGGGTGTAGGGGGAGGGGGAGAAGGGGTGGGAGGGGGTGGATTGGGAGGAGAGGGAGTGGGTTAGGGTTGATAGCCATGACTGTGTGACGCATGTTAGAGGTTGTGGTAGGGATATAATATGGGGAGGAGGGGGGGGGGGGGCTTACAGTAAAAGGATGGAAGTTGAGGACTTGGTCCTGAGAGAGACCGTCGGGGATGGTGATGGGGATGGTGGGGTGGGAGGGGTGGTGGAAGGTCGACATTTTGTTTGCGTTGCCGTGGTAGTTGCTGTGATTTTGACGAGAGAGAAGGGGGGGGAAGAACGTGGGTGTGAGTTTGTTTCTTAAGGTCGAGAGCAGCAATGGGTTGGTTTTGTAGAGGATTGGAGGGAGAATGGTCATGATAATTAACAAGGCCCGCAAAAGTAGCAAACGCCAGCTGCTACGGCGCATCTGGCTAATTTCGCATTCCTGGCCAAACTTAGGATGGCATCTGCTCCTTCTTGTACAAATTGGGGGTTTGTTTGGGAGAGGATCTCGGGGGATGCCTGCCGGGAGCTGACGTCAAATGGACCCCTGGGCAGGCACGACGCGGGGCAACTGCAGGGGTAACAGTGTAAGTGCCGTGTGATATGTACCCTAACCCTTCCTCGTCTAACAACATGGTTGCAGTACAAGGGATCTGAAGAGACGAGGAAAGTGCTATTGACTTGTAGATTCTATGTAAATATTTTAATAATATGCACTGGTCCTTCTATGGCCTTGTATACTGTCGATTTGTTTTGTGTTGGTGAAAACAAGGCATGATAACGCCAAAACCCCCCATGCCGCGAATCTTTTCCATGTTGCTTTTCCTTTCCGACGCTGTGAAAATCATTCATTCTGAAGTATTGTATATGCCACAAAAAAAGTGAGAATCGACGCTCAAGCAACAACATTCCCATGAGCCCCCACCAGCTCAAGGTTATCCAGTGGCCTCCTCCTACTCGGTCTCCGCCCTAGCTCAGGAATGGGGAAATCCCCTTCCCCGTCGGTGCTTTTCTTCCCTTTCGTCAAACTCCCCACCCTCTTCAGCAACGAGCTCGTGCGGACAAGCCCTGTTGCGGTTCCTGGCCGAGACCCAGGTGAGTCGCTCCCACTCTCGTGTCTTCTGGCCCCTTCAGACCCACTGCCCTCATTTGGAACAACAACACTCATCACCGAGTCAGCACGAAGTGGCACTATTTGAACAACCGGAGTAGATGAACGGGGTGAAACTGAAGCTGAAGCTGAAGCTGGGCCGGGTTGTCCATCGGGTACTCTCTTCACCGCACCAACGAATAGGCTCCGCTCCCCGGACACTTCCTTGACGTAGTCTCGCTTTGTCTTCTTCCAGTGTCTCGTCTTGGCCGCCCAGGAAGCCATCTTGTCAAGCATGATGACTTTGGCGAGGGAACATCCCAGCTTCGCTGGAAACTGCGTAAGGGCTCGTTTGGCTCGTTGCCGGGTTGTCAACGGGGTCGCTGCTGGTGTAGGAGGCGCTGGTGGTGCCACAATTGGTGCGGTTGGAACAGTCGCCAGCGCAACAGGACTCGAAGGCGACGTGCTCGGGGTGCCATCAAGGGTCGCAGACGAGATGTCAGACGCGCTGTTGCTGCCTGTCGTGCTCCGCGCTCTCTTCCATGATACATAGTTCCGTCGGTGCTCGAATCGTTTCCCTTCCGCATATGACACCCATTGCTGTTGTAATTCTTGGCGTCGTATTGATTGAACACTGGGAATGGCTACGCTGTAGGTCTAGCTATGCGGTCAGACAAGTGTATTCACCACAATCAAGTAAGAGCTCGCCATACCGGTGGATCTCGTTGGGCTGCGGCGTGGTATGGTGGAGGCGGAGACAGGATGGTTGGGTATTCGGGCTCTGGGCTTCCATTATCGCTATCCTCGTCCATATGGTCTGCTGCGGTATCATTGGGGACATTCTGGGCATAAGGTGTGTATGTAGGAAGCGGGTCGTCCGCCATCGGCTGCTCTTCTCTTTCGCCCGGGGTATCGATATTAGTACTCCTAGGTTGGTGATGTGGCCGATTCGGGCCATGTCGTTCATCTGCCACTCTTCTTCGCGTCCTAGTTTCCATGACCGGCACCATCACTGGCGGTAGCTCCTCGACTGGCCCGTCAGCTGCCCATGCTTCCCTCTCGCTGTCGGCCAGCTGTTCGATCGCGTATGGGCCAGCATAGCGCAGCGTGCTTGCCATGGTAGAAGACCCGACTTCAAGTCGGACATCCGCAAAAGGAGAAGACGGTGGTATCCGTCCGGCCAGTCAGGGTGCTCTTAGCTAAACACCTTGCGGATGGCGCCACGACTCGTGTTGCGAATTGTGGAGAGAGAGAGAGATTTGACCATAGCCGACCGTCCCGTGCCACAAAGGCTTAGAGTCTCGTGAAGCCCACGCCGACGTTTTGTTGGCGGTACTGATTCTCATATACCTTCTTGACCTGCTTTCGTCGCCCAGCTCTGAGAAGCAACCACATTGCCATATTCGAAAGCTTACGACCAACCCCTCTGAACCCCGCACACCAGAGAATTATATCCCTCTAGGATCACGGAGCCTCGTCACATTTGGTTGGCTGGAGACATGGGCTGCCTTGGCTGCGAGTCTGACCTAAACTCCGGGGTATACAATTAATCATTCTGGCTTCGTTATGTACAATGCATCAAATCATGCCTCGTGTCATATCAACAAAAACAATGGCGGTCACATCATAAGCGATGGCTTTATTGCTCTTCTCCACCTCACCGGCTGTTCTCATCTTCACCATCACCCTCATCCACGACCACCACCACATAGCGTGTCGAAGTTGCCTCGGAAAACTCGGGCCCATCCTCCCCACTGTCCTCTGTCACCGAGACAGCGTGGTTACTATCGGTGCTATTCGAGACGATTTGAGTGGTTCCATCCACCGCATTGATCGCAACCGTGTGATGCCGATGACGCGCCAATAACTCTGGTGGCGCTGTCCCCTCAGCGAACACCACAACGTGGCGCTTCGGTCTCTCACTGCCGGCAACGACTGACCGCTCTTCGTCAATAACATACCTACTTCCAGCGGCTAACAGAGGATCGGTGGTCGGCGCGTGAGGAGCCTCTCTCATGACATAGCGTCGTTCAGGATGGGCTTGATTGCTGTTTTCCCTCGTTGGCGGCCGATTCGCCCCGAGCCCCCCAGGGCTGTCCTCCAGAGAGGCCTGAAAGCGAACCTGCCGGATCTGACCGCCCCTAGTCTCAACATCTCCTAATCCAGTTATCGTTGTGACTGAGGCGTTATCGACACTAAAGTGTCGACGGTGGCTGCGGTTCTTGCGGTTGCTAGGAGAGCCTGGGGTATCCGCAAAAGGCTTGTTCTTTTTGCCTCGGCTCAAGATACCTGGGCGTCGAGTAGGACTTTGATGGTCATTGGCCAGTAGAGGAGCTGCCTCTTCGTCTGTCGCAGGTTGTCCGCGATGTCGGCCTCCATCCGTGCCGGAACTACCGGGCGAGCCTTGTACAAAGATCACGCTCAGCACACCTGTGGTTGCAGCGACGAGCGCCAAAGACTGGACCAGGATCTGGAACCCCCATAACCAGCTGATGGAACCGGCAAACAGGGGTCCAACTAGTGCTCCCCAAGCAGCCGCAATATTTGGAAGACTAGATGCTTGAGCAGCCGCACTTGATGGGTCGTTGACCGCTGTAGGCCCCACCAAATTTGTGATCTCCCTGATCAAAGGATCACCGCACAGTCCGGTGGCAAAAGATATGGCAGAAAGAGTCAACAGCAATGGGTTTGCGAGAACGCCATGGTTGCCTTCTGTAGTTTGTCCCGTTGCCGAGACAAGCGAGAGGATACCAGGAACCGACGCCAAAAACCCAATGGATGTCAACCAACGAGCTGATCCAGGAATTCGAGCAGTGAAGGCGCCAGCCAAAAGACCCACTACCACAGCTGGAGCCGATAGCCAGACAAACATCAACCCAGCCCCTAACTCGGTCCAACCGAGTTTTTTGATTATTCGGAGAGGGAGAACCGTAGCAAAGGCAGTCGTCAGGACGTTGAGGACAAAGTACCCGTATACGGCTACCAACAGACGGAAGCTCCAGGTAGATGGTTCTGTGAGAATGGTAG